TATGTAATTATTATACTATATCAGTTCTGTGAGAATGTGTGTTTATTTAGTACCTGGTCCAGTTGGTTCAGTATCCAGTATCATGGACACTACATGGGCTGTTATCTCATGGAATGTACCTAGTTTTATTCCATCAGACTATCCCATTATCACATATGAGATAGGATATCATATCTTACAGTCTGGTTGCTGTCCAATGGTAGATGATGATGACATTGATGTTCAAAAACTACAGCTCACTAATTCAACCAATGGCAATACATTCACTACTAGAATTACTGGTCTTGATGCTATGTCTTGTCATATTTTTGGTGTACGTGCATACACAGACAGAGGACCTGGTGGATGGGTCTTTATTGCTAATGAGATATTGATCAGTACTCAATTTGTGACACTAACTACATGTACTCAAGAAGTAAGATCAACTAGTACAGGTATAATAATGAATGTGCTAAAATTAAGACGAAAATAATTTCATATTTTTATAAAAAGTATCAGGAGCTGTTGATGGTGCTAGTATTGGACTGGGTGCAGTGGTTGGATTATTATTAATATCACTAGCTGTTAGTATCATTATTCACATCTACTGCTTTATCAAGTATGAATACATTAAAAACATAAAATACAATTCAATGTTGTTTATGTACATGTAGGCTTAAAACTTATGATACAACGACTGCTAAGCAAACCAAGTAAATAAACATTTGTTAAGGACAAGTAAATGTTTGTACATTACTGTTGTTTATGATAGGTTTGATGATGATATACCAATGCAAGCCTGTGAACCATATGGTATTCACAAGACTAAAGATGTTACAAAAGATGCAGTATATGAGTGTCCTGATGTCAATGTTAATGATACTGCTATTTATGAAGAAACATAACTTATGAAACAGTAAAAACTAACAGTGCAATTTAATATACATGTACATGTACACTGTGTGATACAACAGTATGAAATGTCCGTGTGCTTGTTTATCTATTTTGTAGCTGGATAGTGTGACATACAAATATATACATACTTTTCTAGATATACGTTTTAGTTCTGGAGTGTGACTGTATTCATACTGATTCAAATTCTTGCAGTGTTTGTTATTGATTCTATTGATGTTATCTAATCAATGAACTATATAATATGGTGTTATGTTATTGAAAGGTTCAAACTGAAACTAAGGAAATTCTTTGAAGACACAATAACAGAAATAGCTATATGAAAATTCCTCACACTACTCTGGACTTCTAAGTTATAAAAATCTTCATATACAATAAAATTTCACCATATGATTTCACACACTCAATGCCTGCTAAGTAGTTGTCACACTTGTAATTCTAATTTTAATTACTTTCAAAAATTAACTCATTTCCTTGTGAGGTTCGACTACTTTTCT